TTTTCATCTAAAAGGATAAATGCCCTTACTCACAAAAAAACCAGTATCAATTAAAATCGGATAATGATTTGAATAAGTTCTAGCTAGATGATATACCTGAGTTTTAGGGTGCACTTTCATCCATTCCGCATTTACAAGAGCCATATCCAGTCTTTCCTTAATTAGTTCTATTCCTTCCCTACCATTGTTCCAAGTGAACGCTGGACCATTAAAATTTAGATCAATCAGACCCTCAGCATCCGTCCACTCTGAGAAATCCCTTCCTTACGAATTAGTAACTGGTCTGCCTCCCATTTTTTCGGATTGAGAAAGGACCTCATTCATGTCTCCCGTGAGGATCCAAGGAGTAGAATAAGGGTGGATTGTCACTCAAATTTATCCATAATACCCTCTTATCCTTTACTGCTGAAGGTGCATGTACACCCATAATAAGGAGATCCGGAACATTAGGAGAAAGTTTGAAGAGAGAATGAAGAAGATGAGGAGTATCAGCCACAAGATAAATTAAGATTGCGGGTTTGCACCAAAATATCCAAATTCCACCCCCAAGCCTAGCAGTAGGTATAATGCTCACATCCTCAAACCCTAGCCTTTCACAAAGCTTGCGGGCTACATCATCTGTTGACTTGGTTTCAAGAAGGAAAAAATATCAGGCTTATGCATCCTCACAACTTCAATTGCGTGAAGATCAAAGTCCTTACTAGTATCGCCTCTAAAATTCCAGAGAATTTCTTTGATATTGACATACAAACAAGGAAAAGTGGGAAAAATCCCTCTATGTTGTTCTTAATGGTTGTTCCTAGACGGAAACAACATCATCCAATCCCTCCATAGGTTTAGCATTTTCATCGCCCATATGTCCTCCATTGACAACGTTGATGCTATCATCCAGATTTCCTGCATTAGATTCCCGGTACTCACATGGTTTAGGCTCTATTCGAACCCCACTATCTCCTTTTTGGTTTCTAATGCAATCATCCGGTTCTTGCTCTCCATTAAGTTTAAACTTTGGCTTATCAACTGCAGGGGGTATGATGGTGGGTTATTTTGGTGGTGTTTCTATAGGGGTGAGCAACTTTTCGTAATTTGGAAGAGTGGGATGAATGAACTGGTTCATTATAACCCGCATACCTGCTTAGATGAAGTTTAATCTCTCTAATGGAACCGGGTTCATTCTCATTACCGGCCATAGGTATGGGGTTTGGAAGGTTGGAAAAAGATGTTGAATTTGTGATTGAGGTGAGGCCTGGGATAGTGTGGATGGGGTTGGAGTGATGGTTGTTGGTCGGGGTAGCAATATCGCCGATAGTACAGCAGGGGATCTGATTTGATATTGACCATGGTGGTATGGTGACAGACGGTAAAGGTGTGGGTTCATTGGTGAATTCATTCGATTTTGTGGATTACTTGGGGTCATCCGTTGCTCGGGATTGTGTTGGTTTTCCATGGCTATGGGTGTTATCGAGAGAGGAAGCTAAGAGTTAGGATGAGAAATAGAATTGGCAGAAGGTGTGGGGATGCGAAAGGTGTTGGTAGGGGATAAAAGGGCTGAATTCGAATTGGGAATGGGTGGAGAAGGTGGAAAGCCTTTGGTGATTTCATATTGCTCTACTCTCGGGACTATACCTTCATTAATGGTGGATTTTTCCAACGCTAATGTTTTTTCTTGGTGGTTTTTTTTCCTAGTATTCTTTCCTTCCTTAGTATTTTCCCCATGAACAATTTTTTTTATTTTCAATAGAATCTTCCTCTTGCTCTTCCACTGCTAGCAAATCCCATTGAATATTTTTAATACGGGTTTGGCAGTTGTGGGCTTTCCTAGGATGCTTCAATTTATTCTTTTCTGTTGGATTTTTTCCATTAGGAATTTTCTACTCCTCCTGAATCTTTCCTTTTTTTTTATCCTTTTTAAAGTATTTTTTCCTAGAAATCGCCAAAACCCATGGCCCATAAGCTCCGTTTTGCTCCCCTGCAACTCTATACTATCTTCTTTTTCGTCTTCCTTCTGCAAAACGCTAGTAGTAGCAGTAGGCTCATGGTGCTTTAAGATTTCACCACCCAACATTACCCTTGAAGGAGTATTTTCCAACATTGGCATGCTGTTAAATTAGCTTACTCCCTATCTCCCTTTTCCTCCTGAATTTGTTTTTCCTTTTTTAATTGGCATTGATCCTTTGAGTGACCAATCCTGCCACACTCAAAACACAAGCTATGGATTTTTTTCAAATTTGATTTTTTTTCCATGCCTTCCCTACCCAAACCTTAGTTACCAGAGGCTTCTCAAGATCAATTTAAACACAAACTCGAGCATAACAACATTTACTAATTTTATCAGTAGAATAATCCACTCTAATTGGATTTCCCACTATTTCTGCTATACTAAACAGAGCCTCAATGTCATAATATTCAACCGAGAGTTCCGGAAATCTAATCCAAACGGACATATTTTTGAAACTCTCAACTGAAGGTCTAAAATTAGGCTTCCATTTCGCCATCATCAAATAATGGTCGAAGATAAACCAAGGTCCTCCAAAGAGAGCCTTTTCCAGATCATCCTGAAGCGTGAATCTGAACAAGAACACCCCATTCTCCATTTTAATAACCTCCACCCCTCCTTTCGGATTCCACATTCTATGCACCCTTTGTTGCATGAATTCAGCTCTTATTTTAACTCCAAGGCATTTCCCAATAAATGTCATATGCCATGGTTTTAGAATCTCTTTAAGCTTCTCCTTCTGGAATCTGACAACATGAGCGTGGCCCTCAAGGTCATCCTCTTCATCATCCCACTCCTGAAATGCAATGATTATCTTTCTGGCTTCATTAAACCATTAAGATGATTTGGAAACAGACTCTCTGAATGTGCCCATCAATTTCTTCTGGGGACTGTTGGAACTCTTATTTCTACCTTCACCATCCTCTGCTTGCGATCTGTGACTCTTAACATTATCAGAGATGCCCTGCTGGAGTTCTTGAGTGACTTCCATTTCATCAACTTCCTCAGAATGCACAACTAAAAAGGATACAATTTCCTTTCCTAAATCTAACCTAATCACTGACTTATTCACTAAATCAACCTCTTGAGTGGATGCAATATCCATGTTTGACGCTGACTCCATCCTAAAACATTATCCTAAACCAAAACAGAGAAGAACGGAACAGAACTAGCGAGCAAAAAAACTAAACAGGACTAAAAAAAATACAAGAACGACATTAAAGTACACCACTTGCTCCCAACTAGAGGAAAGCTCCCAAAGCTCCGAGCACAATTGTGTCGGAGGAGTTCTCCGATGGCTAAAACTCTAGAGAGAGAAAGGTCCTTAGGGCACTATACGTGCTGGTTTCCTAATTTGAAAACCAAGTAGAATTTGACCGACCGCGAGCGAGTTTGAGAGTGAGTGTACACATGGTTTGTTTGATTGTTCCCCTCGTATGTATCATCATTATGTAGAGTACGAAATGGAAGCAATTATAATTGTACAAAATGCATAAGGAAGCTCTAAAGAATGAATGATGAAATTCTAGCAAAGTACCATTTTCAACCACTTTATTTTTTATTATATAAAAAATCGTTTTTCATAATAAAAATAAGAAATAAAATTTTACAGTAAGCTTATGTATTTAGGAGTTTATGAGACTTTGAATTTTATAAAAATAAATTTTAATCAATCCAAAAAAAATCAGACATTAAGGCTTACTAACACCATAAATTTCTTACTACAGGTCTGTCTATATTCCAATTTCGACCAATATCTTTATTTTAATAATAAAATTTGAATTGACTACCTAGAAAATATATTCCTTAAGATTTCTAAATTGGGGTCACACGTTCTCATAGGATGAATAATCTATTTTCTATGATTTTTACAAAACAAGGTATTAAAATATTAAACTGTTTTGAGGCTTTTCTTCTCAACCAAGAATACCTTTTTTATTTGGCATATCCAATGACTTTTTAAAAGGAAAAATTTCCTACAGAGAATCTACATATTTTTCCTTAACATACCATTAAAAGGTTTATTCCAATTTCGAAGTACTTTGACCATTATCACCCAAACTGGAGCCAATTTCCCATGAAAATCCCAAACTGAAGTGATTTTAAAGAAAATTCATTTTCTTTTAATTCAACCGTTGGATGGATCCCAATTGTTGATATGTTATAGAAGACATGTAGACCTTTCCAAAGACCTATCATATGCTCCAATCCAATCGTTATAACATGTGTTATGGTTGTCCGAAAGATGAGGGAAACTTTTAACCCTTAAGAACTGTAAGGAAGAAATTAATGAACATTATTATATAATTTGTGTCACCCTATTAATCTATTATATATACCTCTGGTAAATTTTCTGTTAAAATATTGTAATTTAAGTCATTTGAGGAAGCTATAAATTACTCATGCCTCAAGTTAGTATGAATCTCTTCCAAAAAAAGAGACACGTATGTATCCTCTTAAGACTAAATTTTTTTTTTCTTTCAAGTCTTCTTCATATCCTATGGCTATATAAAAGGAGCACTATAAATCATTTATTTATTTTGGAATAGAATGCCTTATACTTTTTAGAGAACTTTTTTTAAGTTTTAATTTCATCATCGTTCGGAAGAGCAAAATTTCCTTATGCATTTCTTAATAAAGAAACAACTGGCTTTTACTTAAGTAAAATATGGCTTTGCAGGATTGTATCATTTTATTAATAAAATAAATCTTTCGAGTTATGGTTTATGGATTATATTTAAATAAGAGGGTAAAATTGAATATTATATCATGACTAGGGATGGTAATAGATCCGTATCCGACCCGGATCCGTGGATCCATATCCGTTTTCACGGATATGGATCTTGTAAAATTAGACCCGACGGATCCGGGTCGGATACGGATCCTGTCCTGAAAAACGGATCTGGATACGGTCAAATACCCGTATCCGTGTCCGTTTACCCGTTTTTTTTTTAAAAAAAATATTTTTAATAATTTTAATATACAAGCCCGGCCCATATGAGAATATGAGATACTCTGCCTCTAACTCTACCAAACCCTAAATCTCACACACTCTCTGACTCTCTCTCCTTTCTCCCAAACGGCACCAACCTGCACTCCCATATCTTTTCCGGCAACCGCAAGTACACTCTAGCAATCCACCTCATCCTCTCCGCTGACCGCAAGCACACTCCAGCATATTGTAAATTATTGTAAGTATATAATTAATCTTCAAATTCGTTACTTTATGTTTGGTTTTATTAAAGCAATTTTTTCATGTAAATGCTTAATAATTGCTAGTATGATGAGTGGATGTGGATCTAATGAGTGATGTACAGATGTTTCGCTACTTTCTGTAGAATGTTTTAGTTTTTAGAATTTTAATTATGTTAAGTTTAATTAATTTCCATGTTGTAGTTCTAGCTAATTTTCCTGTAACTGTTCTAGCTACAATTGCTTTAATTAATTTTAGTTTTTATAATTTTACTTTTTGTTGCATGTTTATATTTTCATTTTGTCATTTATTTATTGTAAATTTTGGTTATCTTGTCGGTTATCTGGTTATGTCGTGTATTAGTGACTTAGTGTACATGAGCTTGCTTTAAAAAGTTGTTGAAATTATTTTTCTTTGTTATATTTCAGCCTTATGGATAAACAATCAAATTTTAAAGATAGTAATCAAATTTTAATATTAATTTTAAATATATTAATATTTCATTGTTTTTGGGTATTTGAATTCTGGTTATATGATGGTATGATGTTTGTGTTGGTAATTGTTCTAGCTTTAATTTGTGCATTTGGAATGTATATTTGGTGTGTAGGTTTTGTTTTGTGCCATGTCCACATACAAAGGGGGTTATTGCTAAGGTTCTAATGGATACTTTATCTCAATTCTCTTTGGTAAACAAAATTTCTTCTATTGCTGTTGATAATTGTACCACAAATGATTCTATGATCAATGTCTTGTTGGAGAAATTGGAAAGTAGTTGTTTGGTGTTAAATGGAGATTTTTTGCACATGAGGTGTAGTGCTCATATTCTAAACTTTATTGTGAAAGATGGTTTAGAAGTCATTGATGGTGCAATTGTCAAAGTAAGAGAGTGTGTAGCATTTTGGATGTCTACTCCTAAAACAATTGAAAATTTTGAAGAAGCTTGTCATCTTTTGAATGTGACAAAACCTAAAAGAATAGGTCTTGATTGTAAAACTAGGTGGAATTCTACTTACTTTATGCTTGAATCTAGTTTGCCTTTCAAGGAAGTTTTTAATAAGTTGAAATGTCTAAATAAAAGGCTTAAGTTTTCTGTTCCTAGTGATAATGATTGGACTATGGCTACTCTTGTTTGTCAAAAGTTGGAAATTTTTTACAAGGCTACCAAAGTTTTTTCTACAAGAAATCATCCAACGGCTAATTTGTTTTTTCGAATTGTTTGTGAGATTAGACTTGCTTTGAATCGTTGGGTGCAAAATGAAAATCTGAAGTTATTAGGACAATGGCTAAGAGTATGGTAGAAAAGTTTGACAAATATTGGTCACATTTCAATGGGATTTTGGCTATTGCCGCCATTTTAGATCCTAGAAACAAAATGGATTGTGTGACTCATTATTTTGGAAAATTATATGGAGATGATGCTTATATTGAAATGACAAGAATTAGAAAGACCCTTGATAATCTAGTCCATGAGTTTCAAAAAAAGCCCGAGGTAGTGAATGAGCAACCACCATTGAAGAGAGGGTTTAATGAGCTTGGTGATGAAGATGATTTTGCAAGATCTAAGAGACAAAAGGTTAGAAGTACACTCTTGAGGAGTGAGATTAATCAATATTTAGAGAGTGAAACTATGCCGGAGGATAATGAATTTAATGTTCTTAAATGGTGGAGTAGAGATCAAAATTATCCAACTTTGATTAGAATTTCCAAGGATATTCTTGTAATCCCCATCTCTTCGGTTGCTTCGGAAAGTGCATTTAGTATGGGGGAAAAGTAGTTAGTGCCCATCTTTCTCGACTTCATTCTCAAACCATGGAGGCTTTAATGTGCTTACAAAGTTGGATGGTTGATGACGTGAAAGGAAATATATATTTTGTTTAGTTTTTTTTATATCCTTTTATTAATTATAAAATTCATCTTTTATTTCTAATATAATGTAATTTTATTTATTTATGACAAAGGTGAATTTGAAGGATCATTTTCACGCTCCACTATTACCGAAGATTGTGAGGATGATAATGACATACAAGGGATGGATATCATTGACATGGTAATATTTGCTAAGTTGTATCAATATGTAAATAAAGAATTTTTGCTCTTTGTCGATAACTAATTCACTAATTCTTTTGTTTGCTTATTTTTCTATTTTAGGATGTTGATGATGTTAGTAGTGATGAAGATTAGCCCTCTTGGTAGCTAGTCCAAAGACTTCTTGGGAGATGGATTTGGATACTCATCTTTCTTATATCGTTGTACTAGTTTGTATTATTATTCATAAGACATGTATTAATGTATTGTTAAGATTTTTATAAGTTGTCTTGTATTATTGGAGTAGTTGTAGAACTTGGATTCAAATATTAAACGAAACAATTGAGGGAGGTTTGAAAATTGACAGTTAAACCATTTTTTTAAATAAAAACTACATTTTTTTGCTAAAAAAAAGGTACAATGTGCAGGATCTATTTTGAACCCGTTTTGGACCTCCAACGGATATGGATATGGATCCTCCTTCTCCATACCCGAAGGATCCAGATCGGATCTAGATCCAGGGTGCAAAAACGGATCTGGATATGGATCCAGTCGGATCCGATCCATATCCGACCCGTTGCCATCCCTAATCATGACAGATTACAAGATGATCTATTTGCCACAGAGAATTATACTTTTAAAGTTTCATTATCTCTGATAGGTTATCGCTTACGTAATCTAACATGATTAAGGTTTTCAATTCACTACCTATCATTTAGATTTAAGCCATATAGAATGTCCATTTTGCATAAGTCAATTTCATACAATCCAAATATATTTCCTTCGTATTCCTCTCGATTCATATCAATTAAAATGCCCTTTAAGCACACTCAAATAAGCCCATACAATCTCTTTTCGGAAGTTGGTAAACCCAAAATAAAGTCATTAATTGAAATGCATTTTACAAACAAAAAAAAATCATTCTCCTCAAAGAAACTCCTATGGTGTCGCTGATTCTAGTGACTTCCTCAACCTTGATAAATTGACCTCCATCTTGAAAGCAAGATTTCGACCTCATTTAAATGAACCTATACGGATTGACTATCCCTCCCAAAAAAAATAAACCTTCTCAAAACCTCGTATGAAATTTTTGACCATGTATAAATGGTCGTTCGTAAGAACTACATAGGTTTTTGATCCGGGAGTGGATTTAAATCCCACAATGAACGGTACGTAGGGCAACTTCAATGCTCAAACCCACCATATATCGTAAGGTTTAATTTACTTTTATTTTACATTTGAGTGTGATTGACAATGTGGAAACTTTCGTGTTTTTATGCATATAGTTTAAGGAAAAGCATGTGAATAACCATAACCAATTAACAACGTACTAGTAAGAGCATGTTCATTAGAATAGAGGAAGAGACGAGTTCCAAACGTTTGGTCTTCCTAACTTATACCCCGTACCTAGATCTCTAATTTTTCTAAGACCATACTTATATAGTGCCTCACCTAATATAGTCAATGTTGTTTTCTATTTGAAAACGATCATAAAAAAGACTGTCTCTATTCGGGCAACAAATAGAGTGTCGACTCTAATTTCTTTTTTTGTCAAATTATCGACTTACATGGGATTTTAACTCCTATTTCTAACTAGTAAAAAAATGGGTAACACATGTATAAGTGAGCGTATATGAATCTTACAATGTCTAATTATGCTATTTATACCTAGGAGCAACTAGGGTTACAAAGATATCAGAATATATTCAAACGAGGGAGATCTTCTTGATTTCATTCTTTTTTGCTTGTTCAGCATGTGTATTCTTAGAAAGTATCTTCTTAATTGATTTTCTGATCTTCTTTGCTATACTCGTATCAATCAGGCCGTTTGCTTGATTTTGGATGCATCTTGATCATTTAGCTGTGCCCTAAGCTTATTGGGTTTCTTAATGAAACAGGCCCAACACTTGGGTTGTATTATTGAGATTTTGTAAGCCTTGACACTTGATATGTTGTCAAGTAGGCGGTAATACCTCTAATTTAGGTGTATGCTTCCGCTATTTTTTTTAAAGGTCGTTTATATTTCCTTTAATTCTTACTTATTTTTAGCTAGTAAATCGGGGGTGCGTGTTACAACGAGAAAATACTGATGAATCAAGCTAATATCATTATGTTATTCCTTATCAAAATACAGATAAAGGTTTTTTTTACAAGGAATTACATACTGATATGAATTGTAACCGATCGTATTTAACCCGATTAAATTCAAGACCCCAACCCAATTTACTTGACCCAAACTCAATCTAAATCCAAATTTGACCCAACTTAAATTTAATCCAACAAGAGTTTGACCCAACTTGAACTCAAACTAAGCCAGTTTGACCCAATTTCAACTCCGACCGAACTAATTTGGCACGATTTGAACTCAAATCAATCCAAAATTAACCCGATTCAATCTTACTTCATTTGGCCCGAACTAGCGGTGATAAAAAAAAGGTCTTGGCCCATCCCATGTACAATATAGGAAATGGATCTAGTAATAATGATGATGATGATAACAACAACAACGATCATAAGTTCCAATAAGTTCAATTAGTTCCACTAAATTTTAATAAGTACTTCTATAAAAAGTTTAATAAGTTCAGTTCAGATAAGTTCAGGTTCAATAAGGTGAAGATAACACCTTTAAATATCTTATGTGAATTGAATTTGAATATTTATTTATTTATTTTTAATATCTATTTCATTGTTTCTAAGTTAGTCAAATAATATTTTCTCTCTATTTAGCATCTCCTCTCTCTTTAGACTCATCTCCTTTGTTCGAACGAAGGGGCTCTGTCAGCGTTGGTCGTACTTGTTTGAGTAGGCTAGTTCACATCATGCATCATCACATTGACTAGGCCTTGATTTCGACGTTTGTAGAGTGCTGGCAGCCGAACACAAACCTTTTTCATTCCCATTCGGCAAGATGACTATTATACTCAATGATGATGTCCTATACATACTTGCAGGGTTACCTGTGGAGGGTGTTGTTGTTATAGAGCACAACGATGTTCATTGCGTTTTGAGGGTTGACTTTCAAAACATTTTGGGGTTAGGAGTAGTTGTTCTTGTTGCCAAGCCGACACCCATTTGAGATATTGATGCAGTATCATGTCAAACCAAGTGAGAGGTGCATAATAAAGAGTGGAAACGCTGATATCTAGGCGTGAAGGGTGATGTTTCTTCTTGGCAGCACTCTCTTTGTCGATAAGGGTGGTAGCCATATCCTTCTTTCTTGCATCTTATAGTTGTAGAAGAAGAAGGTTCATCTTTCTCATTATTCACAGGACTCGGCTACACTTGCTTATCTATATCGGCAGTTAGGCATTGCCTCATAGATAGGTTGCAGACACACATTTTCGGGTGTTTAATGCTGCTATAGTCTTGGATTTACGAGTATTTTCTCGCATTTCAACCTATTTAGGGGCTTAGGGTTGTTAAGCCATAGTAATGACTGATGCTCGGGGCGCCATGTGGGACGTACATGCTCTAGAGAGGGACTACATGTAATACCCCGTATTTTGATACGTATTTTAATTTAAATAAGTACTTTGTGAAGTATTTAAATAATTTGAAATGAATTATTTATGGCATTTCAAATATTTATTTTAATAAGTTTGGAAATATTTTATAAAAGGAAAATTTTATAAAAGTCAAAGTCAAAAACATGTTTGAATAGGAAAGGGATTAGTAAGGATAGAAAGGGAATTCAAGAGTATGAGGGTTTCAAGAGAAAAAAGTGTATAAATATTCAACACAAAAGCAAATTAAACTTTGCCCAAAGTGGAGACTACCCCAGGTAATTTTTCTCTCCCTTCTCTCTTATTTTTCTTTTCTTTCTTTCCTTTTCCCCTTCCCCTTTATTTTTTTAGCACCACCGTCAGCCACCACCACACCACCGGCGGGTCACCGCACCACCAACAGGCGTCGACGGCAGCAAAGACACCACTAGTAGCGCGGCAGCAGCCGGCTGTGGTGTCGGGACTACAGCCAGCGCACGCACTTCGAGAATTTTTTTAAATTCTTTTGTTTTAATCCTAAATCTAATTATTAATTATGGTTTTGTGATGTTTTTCATGATGTTTGATTATAGGTAGTATGTAAATAAATTTTCAGATTTTGATTTTTAATTAAAAAGCCCTAAATTGAAAACCCTAGGTTTTTAAATTATTGCATATTAAAGGAATTTGATTTTTGGGTGGTTTTAAATCTTTGAGTTGGGGGTTTTTTAAAACATATTTTCAACAAGTTTTAATGGTTTAATAAAGATAGAAATTTTGTTAGTAAGTCATAATTAAGTTTCTTGAAGGAATTTTTGGGGCGGGTAGGGCCCGACATCGGGTAGGGTCCACTGGCCCAAATTTAGTTTTTTGGGGCGGGTTAGGGAATGCATATTTAGTTGATTTTTTAGACATGGCTCAAAAACGGTCTAAAAAGCCCACATAGCCCAACTATTTTGGGCGGCTTTGGACAGTTACGAATAGCTAGTCTTGAGACAACCTATATAAATATAGTCCCTTGCTAATGTGCGAGTGACGTCAGCAGGTCATATGCTGTAAAATCAGATACAAACCTCTTTTAAAAGAAAAGGAAACATTTTTCATTTTTAAAAGTTGTCATACTCATTTTCTCTCTCTACCCATCAGTTTCTCTATCTATTTCCTCTCAAAACCACCATAATCTATCAAACTACAAAGCTTAGAGATCAAAATAACATGCATAAAATGGATATTCGAGATAAAAGTAGAGCAGCATCCCAAGAATATGAAAAACAACCTCGGAAAAACGGTAATTTTGCAATTTTCTTTGTAATAGTAGCATAATTGTTTACTTACAAGCTAGACTTTTTGTAGCAATTTTATTTGATTATTATGGAGGAATTTTGCCAAATTTTGTTGCAATTTTTGTTGATTTTATCTACATTTTCAATTTTGATTAATTAGTTACATTTGATAATATGAAAATTGTGAACATTAACATTATAAGAATGAACATTTGATATTACAAAAATGAACATCTAATATTTCAAGAATGAACATTTTGCCAAATTGTGAACATTAAGAATGAAAATCTGAAATTATAAGAGTGAATGTCTGATAATACAAGAATGAACATTTTGCCAAATTGTGAATATTAAAATTATAAGAATGAACATCTAATAGTTTGAAAATGAACATTTAATTTTGAAAGAATAAATATCTTATAACAAAAAAAAAATTCATTTTTGTTACATTCAATTGTGAACATTAATATTATAATAATGAACATCTGGTAGTATGAAAATGAACATTAATATTATAAAAATGAACGTCTGATAGTATGAAAATGAAGATTTAATTTTGTAAGAAATAATATCCTATAGCAAGAAGATGTTCATTCTTGTTATATTA